TCCCCTTGTGATGGGGAGGAAGGGCAGGTGAGACCTTGCCATGAGCAGGTGCCATGAGCTGGAGACACTGCCATGGTCATCTGCAGGGGGAATCCTGCTGTGTGGGGCATCAGCTGGCGCTTTGTATTTGCCTTTGCATTTGAAGGAGCTTTTATCTGTAGGAGGGAATGTCAACTTCAAACATGTCAGTCAGGTTTTTCAGGGGTTTGGGCTATTCATCACATTCCTAATCCTCACCATGACTTGGTATCTTGAAGGTGAAAGACCTCCTATTTTGCTCCAGAAAACCAAATCATGTCCCACATCACCTGTGGCTGCAGTGGGAGGGAAAATGAGCTCTCGAGCTACTTTTTGTCTTCTTTAGGCTCCTGATTTGATTAACTCCTACACCAGGTGATTTTTCCTCACTCCTTGCAAATCACGTGGAGAAGGACAACTGTTTACCATGGGTAGTTGGAGTCTTTTCCTCTTTGGGTCACCCTGTGCTCGGAGGAGACCTCCCTGCCTGGCCCAAAGGTTGCCCAGCTGGAGTAAAACCTCTGTGAGCTGGTAAATGGGAGCAAAAAGCTAAATTCAGGGAGAGGAGGTCTGGCTGTGGCTTCAGGCTCAACGGGGACAGAGCCAGAACAGAGGACCATAATCCTGTGGAACCCACCGGAGCCAGGCACGCAAAACTTGGAGTATCCGGGCTTTGGAGCCAAAGTCTTAGAGAAAACCTGAGGAAAACGATCTCTCGGGGTCTTTAAGTCAGTGCAATTCCAAACCTGTGACAGCTGCTCCCTGCTGAGGCTTTGACTGCAGACCCTGTGCTGGGAGATGCTCCCTCAGCAGTGCTGCTTTGCCTCTGCTTAAACCCACAGGACCCACTCGTGGGCTGGAGCCAAACACCTCGGGGTTGATGTGGTTTTTTTTTTTTTGAAGCACAGCAAATGTTTAGCCCTGACAATTCTTTGGTAGAGGTTTTCCCTGAGAGCCATCCCTGCCTCCCTCCCAGTGTTCACCTGCTGCTGTGGCTGAGGTCACCCCACACTTCCTCCCGGGACACGGGGCTGGTTGCCGTGGAAATGTTTAGGCACTGGCGACGGGGAGGGGGGTTGTTGGATATGTAGCCAAAAGCCAATTTCGTTTTTAATGAGGCAGATCTGCAGGTGCAAGTCCCCAGTTTATGGAGCCCAGCTCGGTGCCAGAGGGAGGGGGGTGTGCTCTCCCCAAACGGGGTCTCCAGTGTGGAGAGAAACGTCGCTCTCAGCGTGGCTGGGGCCATGGTGGGAGAAGATCCAACACTCCCCCCACATCCCCATCCAGGTGCTTCCTTCCCTCCCAGTCGCCTCAACACCCCGATGGTGACATGCCCCGCATCAGGGCCGTGCTCTGTCCCCCTTTGGATCCCGCCCTGGCTCCGGCTGGGAAGGTCCCCCCTCAGGACCCCCTGTTTGCTGGGCTGCCTTCCAGCACAAAGCTGCTCCCTCCATCAAATGGCTCGGGGATGGTCCAAACAGCTGCGGTGTAGGATTCCTCTGTGCATCCCTGCAGGGAGACCTCTACTTCTCCTCCTCCTCCTCCTCCTCCTGCATATCAATGTGGCCGGGGAGCTCAGCTGGTGGTGGGGCCGCTGCCGCTCCGGAGGGGGCTCCTGGCAGGCGCCCAGCCAGGAATGTCTCGGATCCAGGCAGACAGACTGTGTGCCGGGGCTTTGTGCAGCTGGCAGGGGAGATGTGTCCCGCTCTCCTCCCACCCCACCCTGGGCAGGGAGGGACATCTCCAGGCCCCCTCTGGCGTGACCTGGGGTGGGTTTCCTCCCTTCCTCCACCCGACTTCACGGTTTCTCCTCGCTGAGCTGAGGATGCTCCGTGATGATGTTGGATCTGCTCCAGGAGAGACTGTGAGGGTCGTGCTGGTGCACTGACCTTCTCCTGTTTGACCTGTAAGCCAAGGCTTGGTTTGTGCTGGGTCTGACCATGGAGCTCCCCTCGCCTGTGGACTGTGTTGGGTGGCATTGGGAGCCTCGTGTCCATTTCCCTGTGCTGATGCCAAGCTCCTTTCAGACCTGGGACAAGGAGCTGGAGAGCCTTGCTCAATCCTATGCAGAGAAGTGCATCTGGGACCACAACAAGGAGAGGGGCCGACGGGGGGAGAACCTCTTTGCTATGGCCCCAATGCTGGAACTGGAATTTGCCGTGGAAGACTGGAATGGGGAGGAGAAATTCTACAACTTGACAACATCCACGTGTGTCCCTGGGCAGATGTGTGGCCACTACACCCAGGTACCAGCTGCTGGGGGGGAGGGATTGGGCAGCTTGTCCTGGGCAGAGAGATGAGGTTTCTTCACAGCTTGTTGGGTGGGAGCAAGGAGGAGCAGAGATGGTGGTGGATCCTGAATGCCAAAGCAACGTGGGGGTGTGGGATCTGGGGCACACAGTAGGAGATGAAGGAAGACATTGGTGTAGTCACAGAGCAGCCTTCAAGGCCAGGGGACAGGCTGCCTTCAGCCACTCCCCTCACCTTCCCCCTGGTCTTTGCCTTAGGTGGTCTGGGCAGACACGAAACAGATCGGCTGCGGGGCAAAGTTTTGTGAGAAGATCGAAGGGATCGAAACAGAGAACATGCACCTGCTCGTTTGCAACTATTATCCCCCGTAAGTCCCAGGCCTGGCATGGCTTGGTGCATCTCTGGGGGGTTCCTGTGCTGGAAATGTCCTTCCTCCTGTCCTGATATCAGAGCAGGGTTGGCCTTGGTCAGAAATAGAAGCAAAGCGGTTCCAAAGAAGGCTTTTGTTCTAAGGGGGGGGGGGGGGGGGGGGGGGGGGGGGGGGGGGGGGGGGGGGGGGGGGGGGGGGGGGGGGTGAAGGATCTGGTCCATGGGGCTGTGTCCCCTGGCCTCAGCAGCCTTGGGCTCAGGCTGTTGAGTAAATGGCACTGACAGTCCGTGGCAGGAGACCACAAACTGTTTTTTACATTGATCCTGAGTTTGGCCTTGGCTGGGATATCCCAGCTGAATCAGACCCCTCTTCAGGGTGGGTGTTTCCCTTGTCCTCACGCTTCTTTTTCTTGGCATCTTCTGCTTCCAGGGGTAATGTGAAAGGGAAAAAGCCCTACTGGGAAGGACCCCCATGTTCACAGTGTCCCGAGGGCACAGTCTGTGTGGACAACCTGTGTGGTGAGTGAACAAAGCTGTATGTGTCCCTTGATGGGCTAATGGGACTGAAACCCCTGGGTTGGGGTCCAAGCTCTGAACCCCCCTGAAATTTTCAGGAAGGCCTGAGCCAGCAGGTCCAAGGCTGGACCATGAGAGCTCAGGAGCAGTGGCTGCTCCTAAGGCAGGTCAGCTGCCTCAGGATGAGGAGAACTGGACAAGGGCCTTGTAGACCCTTTGCCAGCATTTGTTACCCCTTGCAGGGCAGGGCATTGTGTGAGGGAGATGAGATGTCTCCAGTTGGGAACCCCAGAGTGGGGGATGGCCCAGAGTGACCTGAGAGGGGTTGGCTGCTGCTCCTTCACCCCCTCCCTGGTTTCTGCTGGTCCTGCTTAGTGCAGGGGATCTGCTGAGCCAGCTGAGCTGGTCTAACCCACAGCACTTTTCATCTCTTACCAGAACTCGTTGTAGAAGAGACCACTCCGGCCTCTGTGACAACAAAGGCAAGGCCATCCACCCCAACCACAGCCCTGCCCAAACCCACAGCCACAGCCAAACCAGAACCCACAGCACCAGCACACACCACAGCCAAACCAGAACCCACAGCACCAGCACACACCACAGCCAAACCAGAACCCACACCACGAGTAAACACTACAGTCAAACCAGTACACACTACAACCAAACCAGAACCCAAAGCCGAATCAGAACCCACAGCCAAACCAGTGCACACCACAGCCAAACCATCAGTGTCCATCACAACTACAGGCAAACCAGAACCCACAGCCAAACCAGCACACACCACAGCCAAACCAGAACCCACACCACCAGCACACACCACAGCCAAACCAGAACCCACACCACCAGCACACACCACAGGCAAACCAGAAATCACAACATTAACGTCCATCACAACCACAGGCAAACCAGAACCCACAGCCAAACCAGAACCCACAGCCAAACCAGAACATCCAGCAGCAGAGACCATCACAGCCACAGCCAAACCAGCACTCACACCAGTGCCCACCACAGCCAAACCAAAACCCACAGCACCAGTACACACCACAGACAAGCCATCACCCAAAACCACACTTCCAACCACAACCACAGCCAAGCCACCACCCACACCCACACTCCCAACCACAGCCAAGCCCAAACCCCCAGCTCCAGCACCCATTACAACAGCCAAGCCAAAACCTGCCACCACGCTCCCAACAACAACCCCAGCCAAGCCAAAACCCACCATGCCAGCAGCCAACACCACTACAGCCAAGCCAAAGCCCACCTTGCTACCAACCACCACGCCAAAACCCACCACAACAACCACTACACCCCCCAAAACAACACCAAAACCCACCACAACCACCACTACCAGCAGGTCAACACCAACCACACCAAAACCCACCACAACCACCACCACAGCCAAGCCCAAACCCATCATAACAACCACTGCAGCCAAGCCAGAACCCACCACAACCACCACTACCACCAAGCCATCACCCACTGCAACCACCACGATGGCCAAACCAACACCCACCACACCAAAACACACCACAACCACCACCACAGCCAAGCCCAAACCAACCACAGCTGTGACCAAACCAACATCCACCACACCAAAACACACCACAACCACCACCACAGCCAAGCCCAAACCAACCACAGCTGTGACCAAACCAACACCCACCACACCGAAACCCACTCCAGCTCTGGCTACGTCAAAACCTGCTACAACCACAGCCAAGCCAACACCCACCACACAAACCAAACCAACACCTGCTGCTACACCAAAATGCACCACCACTACAGCCAAGCCAACACCTGCCGCTGCAACACCAACACCTGCCACAACAGCAAAGCCACAACCAAAAGCTGCCACTACCACAAAGCCAGAACCAGAAAGCCCTGATCCTTCTGAGGCAACTGGGCTCACTCTTTCCTCTGAGCCCCCATTAGACCTAGACTATAAAGTATCTCCAGAGGCAGACACTGGAGAGCCTGTTAGCTCCTTCACTACAGAGAATCCAGCCTTATTAGAGAGCAGGGGCACAGCCTTCAGCCCCAAATCAGTCCCAGAAACAAAGAAAGGTGTCAAGGAGGATGGAAAAGAGAAATCAGCCTTTTCCAGTCCGCCTCCGTCCCTCCAAGTTGTCCCAGAGATCAAGTTAGGTTTCAATAGAGCTGAGCTCATAACCCCCTCAAAGTCAGTGGTCCTCAGCCCTGAAGAGCCCACCTTCTTGCGCTTAACATCATCTTCCAAAGAAAGAAAAGGGCAGAGCCCCCATTTCCAGACCTCCCTGTCAGGTAAGGTATCCGTGGAGTCTGTGCTGGACACTCGGACGTGCAGTGATCCCCAAGCAGCATGGAGAGGGCTTGGGAGGAACAGTGTCAGACTGCTCCTTTGGATCCCCCCCTCGTATGTGGCCTTTTCCTCACTCTTTCCTCTAACACTGAGGGGCTGGTTGGATGTCTGGCCCCTGAAGCATGGTCTTGTTTGCAGCCTGCTCCCACTAACCCACGGGCTGTCACGCCTTCCCTGGACGGAGCTCTGCTGCCCCGCGGTGCCTCGGGGCACATCACTGGCAGACCTGCATGAGTGGGAGTTCCCCTTCTGTCCAGGTGTTCCCCTCTAACTCCATATTTTCTTCTCTTCTTTTAGCAGGTGCCCTGGACACTGAAGAAACGGAGACAAACTCGGAACAGACCAATGTGGATCAGCCCATGTCTGGGACCCCCAGTACCTGCTCGGGGCTTTCTCTCTTCCTCCTCCCCAGTGCCATCCTGGTGGGCCTCCTGCTTTGAATGGGCTTTCTCAGCTCTCCCTGCTCCAGTCACCAAGGCTTTCTTCAGCACTGGTTGTTCCACGAGCCTGGTGAGCTCAGGAGACCCCTCAGACACTTCAGGCTGACACCTCCTCCCTTCTTACGCTGCCTTATCCGCTCCAGCCCCAGTGAGCCACGGGCAGTGGCAGCACCGAGGGAACTTGGTCCCCTTCATGAGGAGACCCAAGGGCAGCAGGGTGTCTGCCACAACACTGGTGACCTTGGACACTTCTCCTTTCTTGCTGGCCAGCCTGGGCTTGTGTTCCATTTCCAAGGAGGGGGTGATGAGCTGTCCCCCCACCCGTGTGGCCGGCAGGCCCCGCCGCACCGTGTCCCCAGGGACAGCCGGACCCAAGCGGCAAAGAGACACGGGGGTTGGCTTTGGTCTTTGTGGATGAAACGTGGTGGTTGGGTTTGGTGTTTTCTGCTGTTTGTCGGGATGAACCTCCAGCAAAAATGCTCTTTTCCCTTCCCCGTGTGTCTGTCTGTCTCAAATTTGGACAAGTTTCATCTCTTTCCCCTCTTGTCCAAAGAGAGGATGTTTTATTTTCCCCTGTTTCCCTCCTGGTTCTGGTGTAGCTTTGGCCAGTACTACCCAGATGTTCTCCCTGCTCCTCCTCACCCCTCTGCAGCCCTTGCCTCCTCCCTCTTTCCTGTCTCTGCCCCACGTCCCATTCCTCAATTATTGCCATTATCCATTGCCATGGCTTTATTTTACGCCTGTGCCTTCGCCTTTGTGCACGCACAGAAGAGAAACCTTCAGCCCTAAGAGGAGCCACCAGCTCCTTCACACAGCTTTCCCTTGCCTGGCTTCTTTCTTTGCGTAATTTCCGTGTATTTGAATTTAGGTACAGATTCCTCTTGACATGTAATCTGTGTGTGGTGGAACCTGGTCCAGGAGAAAAAAAGTCACCACGTGAATCGGTACAATCTGAGCTCAAGAGAGCCAAGTGATGATGTTCCAGGTCATTGGCGGCTCCAGGACTTGTTGCAGAACCACTGTCATTAGCTAAGACATTGTGTTTTGTTACCTTCACCTGAGCATTCCCAGTCAGGTGTGTTATAAATATGTGACAAGCTTTCCAGACTGGTGGCAGGAAGATAACTGGAAGATACAGTCCCTTCTCTGGTGATTGCATCCTTTGATTTCTTACACAGGTGAGGTGGAGGATGACCTGAAGGCTGTTGTTCATGTCCT